TAGCAAGAATTTGAACATCATTTGTTGATTAACAAACACGATACAGAACTTAAAGTTCTTCATAATGTAAACAAGGCTCGTCCCTTGTTTTAATTTACACATAGAAAATATCATATTTATAACAAAACGAAGTTCAGCAAATCAATAGTAACTGTCGAATCGTATTTAAATTAACTTTTATTTGAAATTATCTACTTTGAACGAACATTTATTAGTAAAATAACCTGTGTAAACAAAAACATGACAATAGCATTGTTAACATAACAAAAGTTTGAAGCTCTAAATCTGTCTTGTATTTGGAAAACTGGCGTTCAAATTTTGATATCATTAGAAAGACCCTAGTTAAATATTTGTAAAAATGGAAAAATGAATTTTGAAATTTTAGCTGAAACTGTGTCCATGCCCCTTTAATTGTTTTGATTACTTGTCAATTTTCAAAAACGTATATTATGTTTATGTGGTTTTTATCTTGAATTAAAAATCGTGTTATACGTATAAGGAGTAAACATGAATATCGTTTAATTTTTTTTAAAATCTTATTTTCAATGCATTTTATTTAGTAAACTCTCTCTTCAAGCACAGGATTATGACATGTGTATGGAGTTATAAAAAATTTCGCCATTTCATAGCACTTACAACTATACCACTAAACCGTAACTTTTAAAAATGGTGTCTTTTTTTTTAAATTTTAAACTCTTTAAGGATAGTAGGACAAAATAGTCAATCCAAAAAGGAGCTTGATTTAATGTTTTTGAAATAGATATTCAATTTTATAATATATTCCCCATCTCCTGATTTCTTTCTGTTAACAAATTAAAAAGATACCGCATATAAATCAAGCTTCAAATACCATTAAATTACTTTATGTGACTTTTCGTATATATTAGTCATTAAGATGAACTTATAAAGTCCATCCGATCCAAGACTGATTTCTTTCTGTTAACAAATGGTAAAATAAGTATAGTATTAATAGTGCATTCTGCTTGATATTTGGTGAGAATAAGCTAGTTATTACTTACATACATTTACTTAAAACATTCAAATGTTTCAAATATCATTTGTTAATTTCGGTTTTATTTTTACTTCCTTAAATCCTTTGATTTCAACTAGGAGCCAAATAACCAAACAAAAAGTACTGTTAATAATGATTTGAAAGTTTAAATTTTATCAAACCTAACTTTAAAATTCTCTATTTCTATGTTCCGATAAAGCGAAGGAAAAACATTCACATGAATAGACCTTCAACTCGATATTCAGATGAACATTTTATATTAATTCCAGTTAACATTACATAAAAGACACCACTGAGTCTGCTACATCTGTTTCTTATTTGAAAACTGTTCCAAGTTAATTCTACGTTTAACGTCACATCTAAAATTCAAAACCTACGAGGGAGGGACGAAAAAAATAAACAAACAAAAATTTCAAACAATTGTGAATTTATTCAAATAAACCATTTCAGTACATTAACTAGAATTGAGTAATAAGAGTATTGGATGTGACACCTAAGTTTAATTTCCCTAGCAGAGTTTTTCCTTAGAATGTTAACTGGTTTGAGTCCTGTTGTGAGCAAACAATGTAGACTGAATGTGCAGGAAAGTTGCTTGTCCTTTGGATTTATATTGCCTCACATCCATGGTACCCTGTAAGGAAATGCTTCTTCTTGTGGGAATAGTTGATCAATATCTACAATAAAGATTATGATGACAATATTTAATACATTCTTATATTGAAATATCTTGAAATTGAATTATGTTGTATTTTTTTCTCACAGTACTAGATCTATTAGAATTTAGATTTGAAAGTGTATTATATGTAGTTTATTCTAAATACCTTCAATTCCACACACAGGACATGGTTCGTCACTTCTTAAAATACCCAACCACTTTCCTTACTCTCCTTCACTTGAAAGGCTTATCTTCTGTAAGCTTCTCCCTGCTCAAATGGCAAAGACTAGTATTATCTTTCCAAGAAACATGTAGGTATTTATACTTGGTACGTACTTGAATTATGAAGAAATCAATCTTACTCATTACTGTTCCTTTAAATTTTTACAAATATTTAATAAAGTATTTGATAAAATTCAAATGATGCATCTCACTGTATATAATCTTTTTTACACATCTTGCACTCAGTTAAAAGCTCTGCGATTCTCTCCAAAATACGATGAAAAGTTCAGCCAAAATAATCACGAACTGAGTCTGTCATTGTCACAGTCTGCACACATGGTACATATGATTCGAAGACTGACAAAAAAAAATCAACAAACTAGACTTTGTCATTAACTTCAATCATAAAAACATCAATTTTTAAGGTCTTCCGTTTCCAACGGAAGACCTTCTACTGATTCTGATGATTAAGATTATTCTTATTATTCTTTTTTTTTTCCTTTTCCTAGACGCCAACTTTGAGGCCTCATATTTCACTCATTTCTCGATGGATTTTGCTCAAATTTTCAGAGTTGATAGACGTTACTAAACTCTATTAGAATGCCATCTAAAATTTCAAAAAGTCACTTCCGGTTTTGAGTTATTTCCCTTTGGACGAAAATTTATAGGCTTTCGTTTCCAGACAAAGGCTCAGAGACGGCTAAAGCTGGAGCAAAATTTCTACTGATTTTAGATAATAGAAGGATTGGAGTTGTGCATAGTGGTTTTTGATTTTTGATTTCTCTATTCAAAATGGTGCTATATAGGGGTCAAAAATTAGGACGCCTAAAAGAGCGAAAATTTACACATATTTTGCTTTTTATCTTCTAAAATAAAAATATTTTGTTAAAACATATAGAACAAAATTTGTGCAGAATTACAAGATCTTTTAAACGATATCTCGAAAAAAGGGCTGACCCCTAAATTAGGGGATCTAGAGGGGCCAAAAGTATTTTCCAGATATCTAAAAATGCATTGAGAATTTGTCATACATCCAAGAAGCAATGTTGTTAAAAATGTCAAGCTTAATCTAATGAAGTCGTCAAAATGCGTCCAGCGACGTCACTTCCGGTCAAACCGGAAGTAGTCAAAAATGCATATTTTTGCTGTTCTTGACAAGTTTTTGGGTAACATATATCACAGGAAGCATAAAACTTAATTTTCCGTCCATCGACATCACTTCCGGTCAAACCGGAAGTAGCCAAAAATAGCTTATTATTTAAGGTTTTGATGCAAAATTGAAATTATAAAGTGACTGGAGACAACTAAGCTCATTGCTTTCTTTTTGCTAACGTCACTTCCGGTCAAATCAGGACGGAAGACCTTCTCGTTGCTTTGCAACGAGCTTTGCTCTAGTTTTACTTACATTTATGATCCCATACTGTTTAATTCACTCCTTTTCATTTAATAAACACAAACACCATCTACTGAGGTATCAAAGCACATTTTCTGCCACTACGGGATGCAGAATTGAGTCGCTAAATGTAGAACCAAACCGGAACGGAAATACGGAATTCCGAATTGTTTGTTTTTTTCAAAGACGATTTTCTCCAAAACCTACGCGCGCGGGTGACGTTAAACATAGAATTAATCTTAAACAGCCTTATGGACAAGCAAAATTGTACGACAAACAAATCAAAATGGCTTTAGCGTTTTCATCGTTAACGTTCCTTATGTTTTAAAAAAGGACTTATTAACTGCGTATGGTGTATACGTCTTCCAACACTGAGTGCGACCTCATTTGAAATAGAGGTATGGAGTTCCTTCATATTTGGTAAGATATCAACAACTTAGAAATAAAAGTCAAGGGTGTTTCCGAGGAAACTCTAGAAACTTTGATCCAGTGTCAAAGTGGGCGTTGATATGAAAAAAGAGACAATTATTGCAAAATTGCAGTTAATGTAGGTCTAAAGGAAGGTCTTTGCATGCATACGGTGATGTCGCTTTATGGATAAAAAAAATCTCATCAGAGAGAATAAATTATTATATGTGTAATACATTGTAACATGTGTAATGCGACACATAAGTTTGAATCGACTTGAAATGTATGTTGTTTTAAAAAAACAAAACAAAAACAAACAACAACAAAAAAAGCGTATTATTTCACTTGAGTGACATAATATTTTTACAATAAAGAAAAGCATTCTTTATATTTGTTTATATAAAAATAACCTGCGACGATGATACAATTTTTATCAAAAAACACACCCCTTCTCATTTGAAGAAAATAAAAGATGCAAGTATTCGCCCTTTGATCCGCTCACATAGATTTAAGAAACCCCTTTCAAGTGACCTTTGATTAACAAATGTTTACTTTGGAGAATTGGAAAGTATCAATTTTCAAGGGGAAAGGCTGCTGGAAAAATCGTGACCTAGTTACTTAGCCTGTCAAAAACACACCCTATAAGTACTTGCTTTTCTCTCTTTGTTTTGTAAGAAAATAAACAACCTCTCTGATTGGTCAAAATTTTCATGAATATTTTTATGAGAAAGGTCACCAGGAGATGACCCTGAATGGGGTTTCTTCAGATCCTTGTGTAGCGATCTATGTGAGCGGATCAAAGGATCTGATTTTAATCAGATTGGTATTCGCTATGTAGTTTAAGACTTTAAGTAATAACATATTATTTTCAAGCATGCTCGGATACTTATGAAATAAATATATTTTCAATTCTATTTGTTTTCTCTTTGAATACCCTTTAACGGTAGTTGAGTTGCATTTAACTCTCATGTGGCTTTTGTGTGTCTGACGTTAGTGGGATAGGGCTATTAAATTTGCCGGGGAGGGGGGCGCTTGTGTAAGTTAAATCTATTAGACAACATATTTCAAATCTGAATTTACAATTTCATTTCAAAATAAAATGGAAATATAAGGAATCGTGAACTCTGCCAGTTATGCAAATTATCCTACGTTTCCAACTATCGTTGATGCCCTGGCATACCCAACAAACTAGACAATGATTTCTAAAATAATCCAGTAAAGCCACAAAGCACGGTCGTTTGCTATTTGCAAAGGTGACTAAATAGAACGACCAACGTTAAAAGCGTCGCAGTAGTATACAATATAGGACAGTCTTTAATGGATACAAATACAGCAAGGTAAGTAAGTTCCCTTCAAAAGTCGTCTTGAATGAATATTTGAGTTATCGGCATTTCTATTCTCAAAGTATATTATAATTATCTAAACCTATGGATTTATGGATTTTTTATCATGAAGGAATTTGAATTATCTTCAGTGACACAGGAATAAGTCATGTAACGAAATGTAATGTTCATTGTGAAAACTAACGAGACCTGACTAACATTTCAGGTGTGATTTATATTGTCATTTTACTAGCAGTGTGACAGTTTGCTTGATGGGGCGTGCTAAAATTTTGCGTGCTTATTTTCATTTTACTCATCGAATGGATGTTTGAAATCAATACTAATTTGCAGATAAAACCCAGAATACAACAAAACCCTGATATGACTGGCCAATCACATTGAATGATTTTTTTTACACGTACGGCATTTGTTTCGTATACGGGGTACCCGGCATTTGTTTCGTATACGGGGTACCCCTTACTTATATTGTGATAAATATAGTTAAGGGGTACCCGTATACTAAACAAGTGCCAGTGGCAGCAACACTTGATCAGTCAAAGCCCGTTTTCTGTCCTTAAAAAGCATGCATTATATTTGTTGTGATTTGACCCAATGGGGTTTTGAATACTTTAAATACGTATAAGAAAATTTAAAGAATGGAATTAGTAAGTCTACACTACATGTATGTAGCTATCAATATCATCATTATAGGAAGTAAATCTTGCTTTATCCATCCACATGTAATTGCTGTTTACTGCACACTGGTGAACAATCGTTCAAAAGGATTGGTCAGTATTGTCCGTGGTATTGCTTGGGTCTTCGTTTCATATTCGAAATATTTTTGATTCCATTGCAATCAAATATTCAATTGATAAGTAAAATGATAACCTGCATACAAAATTTTAGCACGTCCTATCAAGGAAACTGTCACCCTGATAGTAAAGTAAAACGATAATAACTGTATCAAGCTGTGTATTGGTGAGATTTACAACCCAAGCAGCTCACCATTTTATTTCACTTTGACACATTTTTTTCCATATAGTCTATTTACGTTGTTATTGAGCCGAGATAACACATAGAATAATAGGAAATATCGATATATATGACGTGAGTAAAATCTAAAAATTATCACTTGATACAGATTGTCATTTTTCGAAAGATAACTGTCAAGGGGGAAATTTATATACCTTTATTAACCTTGACCGATATAACGTAGTACATCACGGGAAGTTGGCACGTGATTAATTTTTTTCGGTTTTTTTTATTCTACGTTGAGAAAAAAAGACGTTAATTTTTGCGCGGAATCATCTTTCAGTGCTATTTCGATCTCTAACCTTGATTCGTTGAAAACTGATCCTGTTGAATATATTTTTGATCATTGAAATCAGTGACGTAACATCGTTTTTGAAAGGGGGCAGCCAGAGAATTTCTTTTACAGACCTGAAAAAGTTGACAAGCAAAAAAAATAATAATGCATTTTTATTATGTAATTATTAGAGCACCGCCCTAACACTGGAACCCCTGATCCAGGGGCCGAGGAATTCACAATTTACAACCTTCCTCACCATACATGTAACTATGTACATAATTTATCGACTTAATACCAAGAAGCAGAGGAGAAGATTTTAAAAAATACATTTTTACTATATATTAAAAAATCCCTACTCTAGAACCAGAGCCCCTGACTCTGGGCTAGGAATTTCACAATTTTGGTAGAGGACTCCATGCTTATTACAAACATAGAACAGTTCGACTGCTTGATTTCCAGGAGAAGATTCTTAAAGATGGTGTTAATTTTAGTAGTTTTGGTCCCGTCCCTTAGGCCATAGAGGGGAAGGGACCATGAAATTAAATTTTTTTTCCCCGTTCACTCATAAATGTCATCTGCTAAAATAGTTTGAAATTGGTTGAGCGGTTTCAGAGAAGAAGGTAAAAATGTTCAAATGCACGACGGACGACGACGGACAAACACAGTACGCAACAGGTCACCTGAGTGACTCCAGTTACCTAATAATAAAAAAGGTCTAAAATCAAAGTTCCAGTATTTATGTACAATTGATTATGTGCAATTCACGTTCATGCACATTCATTTGTTAATCAATACACAATTTTACTCATGTTTTAGATGACAGAATTTTGTCATGACGACCTTACTAAAGGTGCCTTTCCTTTATCTGATTTTTTTCTTAAATTTTTAAACGTGAATTGAATTATGAAAATTTACTGTAATTTTGTGATTATAAAGATACGATTAGTATAAATTAGTTTCTTGTCCATACAGTTTTTAAATCATGTATATAACATGTAAAAGATGTCTGGCAGATATAAAAAGGATCTTCCATGCATATGGTAAACTTTCGGAAATAATTTTTATCCAACGAGTTGTTTTTTTTATCCCTGAGCATTGGTGAGGGCATAAAAACATAACGAGTTAAAAAAAAGAATTTGCCTTTTTTCTTTCAGTATGAATCAGAAAGAAATCAAAGATCCAAGTGGAAAAGTGGTGCTGCGAGCAGTGGAATACGATGGAATACTATTTCCAATCGAATTTGCCGGTAATTTGGAGGAGAAATTTCGGCAACTGAACAGCATGTCATTTAGAGATAATGATGTATGTGTTATATCATTTCCAAAATCTGGTAAGTGATTATTAACATTAAATTGACATATATATATATATATATATATATATATATATATATATATATATATATATATATATATATATATATATATATATATATATATATATATGTATATATATTTTTTTTTGAGAGAGAGAAAGAGAATCAGGCATATAAAAATCTGAAAAGAATAATGTCAAGTAAAAAGTTGTTTTCTCCTCCTCCAAAATTAAAATATATAGAGTTAACGAACAATTTTCGAGCTCAAAAGTCCTTAAACAATACAAAATAGGAGCGGAACAAACACGGACCTCCAAAACATCAGAGGTGGGATTAGGTGCCATGGAGTAGTGAGCATCTCCTGGCGACCGATCACGGTGCTTCTTGTCATGAACATAAAATAACGGAAACTCTGTCGTCAATTAAGTGTTTAAAAAAATGGTCAAACAATTAGTATGAAAAACGTCATTTATCATTTGACTCAATGATAATTGTACTTGTATTTCCTGAAAATGTCATTGTATCGACCATAGAACTTACGAAATGATGATTTTAAACTTGACCGCCGATATTCTTTTTTCATCAACTTAATTATCATTAATTTACATCGTTTTACCTCGAAATAATATTTTTCGACTTCACCATTAATCAAACATTTTACTTTATTGGTAAATCATATACATGTATCATAAACATTCATTAATCATACTTTATGTATGCTTCATAAACGAGATTTTATATTTTGTACCATTCATTTTATAATTATTTGAATTGATAAAATCTAAAATCAAATGTGTTTTCTTATTACAATACAATTATTATGAAAAGTTGCACTTTCATTATCAATTGTTAACTAGAAATTAAATGTTAAAACCAAAACCATCAACTGAAAAAACCCAGTTGCAACATCACAATTTAAAATATTAACATTTAAAAATCAGGTGTAAAGTTCTTTTGATGTAAGGTGATTGTTCTAATTTACACAGGGACGCACTGGTGTTATGAGATAGTGGCTATGCTGAGAAACAATACCTCTGACTTTCAAACTGTTGTTCCTCCTTTGCTTGAGTTGTTTCCAGTCGAAAAACTTCAGCAGGTGCCCGATGGTGTATACGTGTCACACTTTTTACCACGTCACATGCCAAAGGATTTCCTACAACGACGATGTAAAATCATCAATATCTACAGGAATCCCAAAGATGTCATTGTTTCAATGTTTAATTTCTTAAAAAAAACAAAAATGGGAGAATTGCTGAAGGACGTGGAATTTGATGTGTTCTTCGATTTATTTATGACAGGACAATGTATGATTCATTATTATAAGTATAGTTGTTTAAATAAAATAATATACAAACTTATATAATAATATACAACTATACATATATATATATATAATTGTTTTGACAGTGCCGTCTGCTGGGGGCTCTTGGGTAAACTTTGTAAAAGAATGGACAGATTTTACAGACAAAAACCCGTCCTACCCATTCCTGAACATATGTTACGAGGACATGAAGAAGGTATACAGATTCAATATCTTTAATTTAAATCAATTTTGCACCTTTAAATACCTCAATTCAATTTTTTTTATATACATAATGTTTATACGTAGGACCTGAAAGGCCATGTCAGAAAAATATCCAAATTTCTTGAACTTCAATCCAGTGAAGAACTTATTTGCGAAATTGCTACAAAATGCGAGTTCAAGACAATGTCTGAATTTAAGAACAGCCATGTCCCCGAATTTATGAGCAGATTGACCGATGTAAAGGATAAACATATCATGTATAGGAAAGGTATTTCTCTTTCATATTTTTATTACTAAAATTTAATCAGCTAAAATATTTGAACTCATAATGTCTATAGAATAGTATTGATTTTTTCTAACCTTAAAGAAGTTGATTTGATTGCGTTATGTTTCATAGTTTTGACAAATTTACCTTGGCTATGTTTTCCGTAATATCCGATCATTGTAAAAATTATTATCGATTTTATCAATAAAGACACTATTTGATTAGTTTTAAATTAAGATACAGCATAAGTAGATAATGGGAATATGCGTGTTCACTTAAATGTAATAGTTCAAACATGTATTCAGTGTCCTGTATTTTCTACATGGATTTAGTATTATGTTTAAGATTAAAATATAAAGATAACGAACAAATACCAAGCTCAAGTACTCGTATCAGTTAGGATATATATATATATATATATATATATATATATATATATATATATATATATATATATATATATATATATATATATACTGAATCTTTAATTCCTTTTTATTTTTATTTTCAGAAATTGTCTTAAATGATGCGATTTAATCTATGTGCCATCAATATTGATGCACAGCTAGTGGTTTAAATGTTTAATGAACTGACGATGACAAGTTTGTTGTGCTTGCATCAAAATACTTAATTAATCAAATGATCCCATTTCCATTTAAAGTGATTGATGAAAATAAGATACTCTTAAATTAACTTTTTTTATTAAAACTAAAAAATCTGACAAACGTTTATTAAAAAAGGAAAATTATATTAAATTTTGGGTAGTCTTGTATACATGTATACCACTTCTGGGCAAAATGCAAGAAGGGAAATAACATTTTAATATAATGTGCTTAAAGGAAAATTAACTTATGTTGAAATTAATGCCTGATCCAACCGCATATGTTTTAGAGGTTCTTGTTTGCTCTGCTTTTTAGCTGAGCAGAAGGCTCCAGTGAGCTTTTCTGATCAAAATTTGTCCGTCGTCTGTCGTCGTTGTCTTCGTCGTCGTTATCATTGTCGTTGTAAACTTTTTTACATTTTCATCTTCTTCTCAAGAACCACTGGGCCAATTTCAACCAAACTTGCCACAAAGTATCCTTAGGTGAAGGAGATTCAAGTTTGTTCAAATGAAGTACCATGCCATTTTCCAAGGGGAAATTATGAATTTGTGAAAAAATTATTGCAATTTTAAAAAATCTTTTTCTCAAGAACCACTGGGCCAGGAAAAATGAAACTCATGTGGAATCATCATCTGGTAGCGTAGATTCAAGTTTGTTCAAATCATGACCCCCCAGGGGTAGGGTGGGGCCACAATGGCCGATACAAGTTTTACATAGGAATATATAGTGAAAATCTTTAAAATCTTCTTCTCAGGAACCATTGAAACAGGAAGGATGAAATTCATGTGAAATCATCTACAGGTAGTGTAGATTCAAGTTTGTTCAAATCATGACCCCCGGAGGTAGGGTGGGGCCACAATAGCCGATCAAATTTTTACAAAAGAACATATAGGAAAAATCTTTAAAATCTTCTTCTCAAGAACCATTGACAGAAGAAAGATGAAACTAATATTGAAGGATCCTCAGCTAGTGTAGATTTAAATTTGTTCAAATCATGACTCCATGGTGTAGGGTGGGGCCACAATGGCAGATCAAAGTTTTACATCGGAACATATAGGGAAAATCTTTAAAAATCTTCTTCTCAAGAACCATTGAGACAGGAAAGATGAAACTCACGTGAAATCATACTTAGATAGTTTAGATTAAAGTCTATTTAAATCAAGACCTCTGGGTGTAGGATGAGACCACAATGACCAATCAAAGTTTTACATAGGAATATGCAAGGAAATCTTTTATAATCTTCTTCTCAAGTACTGCAAAGCCATGATTAGTGATATTTATATGGAAGCATCCTCAGGTAGTGTAGATTTTAGTTTGTTCAAATTATAGCCCCCAGGGGTAGGGTGGGGCCACAAAGGGGAATCCAAGGTTTACATTAAAATATATTTTTTTAAAATGTTCTCAAAAATAGCAAACCAATGATTAGTGATATTCATATAGAAGCATCCTCAGGTAGTGTAGGATTAAATTTGTTCAAATCATAACCCCCAAGGGTTGGGAGGGTCTCAGTGGTGGAATAAAGATTTACAATAGGAAAATAAAGGGAAAAATCCCAAGAACAGAAAAGTTATGTTTAGTCATATTGACATGTAAGCATCATCATGTATTGAAGATTCAAATTTGTTCAAATCAAGACACCCTTTGGGGTAGGGAGGAAAACAACGGGGAATCAAATTCAAATTATAGCCAAGTAATATATACAAACAAAATGTAAAAGAAAATCTTTAAAAACCTTTTCTCAAGAACCGCAAAGTTATATGCTGTATTGATATGGAGGCATTCTCAAGTAGTATAAAAATTCAAGCCCCCCCCCCCCCCCCCCGTAAACTTTTCAATTCTGATCTGATTTGTGCTCTTTCTTAGCAGATGTGCTCAGGTGAGCGATGTGGCCCCTGGGCCTCTTTTTTATATTTGTAATTTTGTTAAAGGAATTTTGAGCTTGAATATTGTTCGTTATCTCCGCATCTTAGATGCATGAAATCTCCTATTTTTATTGATACCCAGTTCAAGGTTCCATTAAAAGATTTTTTGTTAGAGAAAGGGCAGCCTGAAATCTGATGCAATTCTTCGCGTTTGTAACAATACTTATGCACATAGTAAGCTCAAATTCTTCACATCATGTATGTTCAAATTTGAAATAAATGTTCTTAATGGATATGTTTGCCCTTATTGAAATTCTCGGGTTATTTAAAGGGATATAGCCACAGTTTCAACTAATTTATTTCTAAAAACCATTATAATATTTACAAATCCTTGCTCAGGAAATTCTAATGATCAATGAAAATTTTAACATCAATTGTTGATTTACAAAGGAGATACAAATCTCAAAATTCTTCATAATGTAAACAAGTCTCGTGTCTTGTTTTTGATTACATACTGTATTTATAACAAAAGAAGATTCAGCAAATCACAAGAAACTGTCTAATCGTATTTAGAATTAACTTTTTATTAAAAAATCTGCTTTGATCAAACATATATTAGTAAATTTACATTTAAAATTTGTAAACGAAAACATGTCATGTTTACATTAAAAAAAATTAGGAGTCCTAAATCTGTCTTGTATCTCGGCAACTGAAATTTTAAAATTTGATGATCGTTAGAAATAACTTACTTAAATATTTGTAAACATAAAAAAAGGAAAATTAAATTTGAAATTTTTAGCTAAAACTGTGTCTGTCCCTTTAAGTTCATCTAGTAACCAAAGCGACTTTAAAAAGATTTAAAGATTTTAATTTAATGCAGGTGAAGTGGGGGATTGGAAGAATTGGTTAAAGGTTGCTCAGAGTGAGGTCATAGATTCAGTCGTGAAGGCAGCTAATATTCCTCTGGACATAAAATACACCTGATACAAGCCTGAAGGGTCTGCGTACGATTACCCAAACAACTTGCAGTCTCATAGAATAAATTTGAAAAATATTATATGCACGAATAAAGAATACATATTACATGAGTTTATTCTGTATCGAAGAATTGCAGTGTAATTTATTTTATCATTGCGCCCTGTAATTCTAATTTTCAGACCTACTTGTATTTTCTGTATTTAGATGAATAAGACTTCTTAACAAAAATATATATGCAAGAAGACGAAAACGCTGGCTAGACATTTTAATATGTCGACAAAGTATTGAACATTTGCTAAATTCTTGCCTATATTTTCTCGATTTTAATCCAAGTAAACCGGTAATAAGGGATACCCAGAGTCTCATAAATATATTTCATATACTTTGATTAAAAAATCCCGCTATCGAATGCATATGGTGTTAAGATCTCCCATCCCATTCGACGCTTAATATCTTGCCTGCATACGATCGATTTACTAAGCAAAGCAGGATCGTGAAAGATAAGTGGGTTGACAGAGATTCCACTAATTACGTTTTAAGTCGGCAGTATACGTTCATAAACTCGTTATTATTTCATTCACCTTTTAAGCAAATATGGCCTATCATTGGGTTGTTGTTAGTAATACTATATTGATTATAAACATTATTATATAGTCTATTTTTATCTGATCTATACAAGGGCAAACAGTCCATAACAATGTATATTTGCATTCTATCTGCTTTCTCACAGTGTGAACCTGCGCCGGCCAGTCTACAATTGCGTTCATAGGACTATAGACGCAACTTCTTCTGCTATGAGTGCAATTCCTTTTTCACATTCGCATAGTACAAGGTATCCTACATTAATAAGATGCGTTCAGAAGTATATACCCGGGTATATGAAATATTGTGCAAAAGGGATAATTATAAGTATTTAATAACATTCTCTGGAAAAAAGAAATTCTGAATAATTTAAAATCTTAAAAAAAATATTTTTGGTCAATGCATTTTATTGTACGACGGCCGTTCAAAAATTACGCGGACTTGTTGCACACAAAAAATATTTGACGACATAATCGGGCAAAATGTCACACATAATATAAAAGAATATTTACTTATATGGTCTTCAAAATTTCATATCAAAATGTTGTAAATTGGCATCAATTTTGGGTAATTTGTCAGGACATATCATTAAGTCACGGAGCAGCAAAATCTTCGACGTCACAGGCACTATAATAAAATATGTTACTGAGCTTTCATTTTCTCAAAACTTTCCCACGAGTTCCTGTTCAGTTTAAGCTACCTTATCTACTCAACATCCAAACACCATTTCTTGTCAAGCTTAAAATCTATTAAACAAGTAAAGCATCTTCTTTTTTTGTTTTAAAACCAAAGACTGCAGGTATTTATGAGATATAGTGTGACATTAGTGACTCTCAATCACTTTCTTTACAGTCCGGACAATATATAAAGTTTTCTTCGATAATCTTCTTCCCGTCCTCCCGTATAGCCTTTTAACAGAGGTCTCACGGTCTAAAATACCAATTTGCTATTTGTAGACGAATGTCACGAATGACACGAATATCCTAGTTTACTACACGTTTTATTGTGCATATTTTGGATCTATGTTGGCGATATCTCGAGCATTATACATAAATTAACAAAAGTGCGTGACGTCATTTTCACAGTCGTTTTCACGGGAATCGGTATATTTCTGTTAGTTCTTCAAATATCACGTCAGAAATCTAATACATCTAAATACATAGTAATATAAGGATACGAGGGTTGTTCAATAAATAATGTCCTGAACTGTATGATATACAACATAGATATCATTTGACATTAAGCTTGACTTTTTCGCATTATTGAATCTTTTATGAATTTATAACAATTTCTGTGACCACTTTTCATCACATAGTTTCATTGTGAGAAGCTGGAAAACAAGGGCTATTCGAGACACTGCATGTAAAATGAATGGTAAAGAAGAGGTAAATTAGAGCGAAATTAAACGCCTCATTCAAGCTGCTGTAAAACTCCTCAAGAATTCCAAAGAAATATTTACTGAAATATGTAACATATACGGCAACCAATGTCTGTATTATAGACAAATTAGCAGGTGACTTTAAATGATAAAAAAATATAACGGGCATCAAAAATGGGTACCGTCCTTGCCAACAAAAATTATAACAACTCATTTACTGTTTGCAGATTCACTGAGGATATATGATGGACTTTAAGACACATAGCAAATTTGATAGACATCATTTCGGGAGTAGTTCACACTGTTTGAAAGAAACGTTTGACAGTTTTAAAAAAAGCTTAATACTCAAAGGTCACCCTATGTTTTGAAAAATGAGTGAAAACGACAGCATGTAAGAATATCAAAAAATTATTTTAAAAAGTGAAAAATTGTAGTAATTCAAGTTTGTTTCAAATTCAAACAGATAATGAAACTCGAATCTATTGCTTAATACTTTCGAAACAAAATTTACAATCAGGTGTATTTGACAAAAACAGCAAAGGTCTAAGAAGAGGAAAGAATTGCAAGAGCACAAAGACAGTTTTATATGCAATTTTCTTAAATATTAGTGGTCTTGTTGTTAAAATTCGTATTCGGGGAGACAGTTTAATTTTTGGAAGAGCCTAGAAAGCAAATTTTTGCAAATAAATTAATTCTTTATGACAGCGTCCAAACCCGTACACCATGAAGAGTAAAGGAGTTTTGGGGATAAACAGAAAGTGATTTTTTTTCACACTAACAATATTCGCCAGGTCTTTCGCCTTTTGACTTGTTTCATTTTCCAAACTTGAAAAAAAAAGCATCTTTCAAAACAAAGAAACTACTCCAGGAAATCATAAGATGTGCCATTTTCCAGTATACTAGGGTACCAAAAAATGAGTTCTAAAAACAATCAGAAGTTGGATAAAAAAATTATCAACATGGGTTTTAATTGAAAGAAAATATTACGTTAATTATTAAGATTAAATCATTGAAAAGCGTCCTTTGCTTCTTACTTAGCACAGAGGACATTATTTATTGAACAGCCCTCGTACATTTGAGAAAATTGTCAAAAAATATTGCGAATTATTACAAGATGCTAGTTACTAAGGTGTGGAACACAAACATAAAATGTACAATGGGTACTCGTTTATCTTGCTCCATTTTAATAATGTCAAATCAAGTGTCAATATTTGCATGGTTACGTTTTATACGTTTGGAGGTCCGTATCTGCTCTGCTCCTATTGGACTTTTGCGAGAAGCACTGACTTTTGCAATTGAAGGTTTACTTGGACATTTAAACCTGTATCATGTATGGAGGTACAGAATTGATAATAGATAAGAAAACCTTTCTAATGATCATAGGTATGGTGTTAGCGGTACTGGTGCTAACATGTGAAAGCCAGGAGCTGAGGGTAGTGTGGTTGTCATTTTCCTCAAGGGCGACTTATTTGTACTTTGATATAACCCTTTAATTTCGTTGAAATAAATGTTAAGCTAAATAGTAATATCGTGAAAGAGCTCCTACACATTGTCATAGTGTAACTGAAAAAATCAGCGCTCCTCGCAAAAGTCCATTTTGTATTGTTTTAGAGACTTCTGATCTGAATTACTGTTCCTAATCTCCATATGTTTCATTCTGTATACAGTAAATAATAAATAAATATTACATATAAACTTGTCATTGTTAATGGATACAGATAAGCTAGACTTTGAATGACAGTGGTGTCGCATAATTCAATTTATGGTGCCTAAAGACTTAGCAAAAAAAATCGTTTTTATTTAACATTAAAATGAAGAAGAAGAAGAAAAAAAACAATAAATATTTTTAAAATTTAGTGCACATGTAAATGCCAAAACATAGATAAATAAATAGTAGTTTGAAAGCATTAAATAAGATTAAAACATTTTTGTTGTGTAATCCTTTGTGTTTTTGGTACATTACATAGCACAATAGATCTGGAGATCTAAAACCCGTGCATTAAGTCACCTGTAACCGTACATTAAGTTGACAAAACTCTCAATTCTTAACTTAATCTACTGTAACAGTTTTTTTTTTGTGGTCAACTTAATATACAGTTACAGGTAACTTAATGTACAGGTTTTAAATGTTATGCATAAATATCAAACATATGTATGAAAAGTTCAACAGTATATCATCTTTAGAAATGACAAATCCAAAGCAAAAAAGACACATATGTTATATCCTGATGCATATTAATTTTAGAACATTCACATCCAGAATTTTCTTAATTAATAAACAGACTTCTCATCCTCTTCACAATATTTGTAAATGAATGCTGGACAAGGAAGATATATAACAGCAATTTAAATTTTAAAAGAGAAAAGCATATTTCCAGATGAAATGATAATCTCACTAGATGCACTGCAGGCGGAATCATTTTGCGGACAAGGATCACAAATTTTCATCTTTTTCATACATTTGCCACCATCTGAATCCTCCATATTTCCATGAATTATTTCATTTACTTTCTGCTGTAATACATTGTTTGTTCAATTGTAGGTTCAAACTGTAATAGATTTGTGGCCCTTTTTTTTCCTGTTATTAGCTTTTCTTCAATATCAGCTTCATACAAGGTGGTCGCCGCTGTTGTTCTCAAAGAATGTTTCGTATAGTATCCCTTTAATCCTGATTGATCACAAAGATTTTCGATATTTTTTTGTCAAAACCTGAACACTAACTTCAAAATCTGCATATCTTCAGGCTTCTGCTTGTGCCTACCTTCTTGAGAATATTTTTTTCCCTTTTGCCTACATTTTGAAGAAATGTGATTCTACATCAGATGAGGACATCTTCACCCATAAAGCTTTATATGGGAATAGTCAGAAATTCATTGAGCTATCATTTAAATCTGAAATTACCTGGCACAGTCCATTAAGTTAAACAATACAGTAATTTTTTTCATCCCTTACTCTCTGGACAATCATGTGTGTAACGTAATCATAGCAAATACACAACCATCACCTGGGACAGTTTATTAAGTTAACAATAGAGAAAATATTTTAAGTAGGATAAAGTCCGAAAACTGTCCATTCTATGAGAAAAAACTGTTCTCGGCTCTTCGGGCCTTGAACAGTTCTTTCACTCACAGAATGGACAGTTTTCGGACTTTCTCCTTTACATGCCATTGAATGATATTTTCTACTGCTTATAAGTGTTTGTGTGCGTTTCCCGGTTAGACTGCTACCCATATTATAACACATTATACAATGCTATAACGTTAAAAATAGGTGAGGCATAAGTAGTGAAATACAACAATTGAACACTCAAATGGGATACACGTACCTAGAATTTTCTTAACTTACGCACTGCTGAGAGACCATCATACTTCAAACACATAAAGTAAATAGAAATTTTTAGTTCTTTACTTTTATTAAAATTGAAATCTTTGTAAGCAAAATGAATTCTTTATATTAAGCAATATGCTTTTCCAATTAAAATCAATAAGATACGATGATTAAT